TCTTAATAGTATTCTTGCAAATTTTCTATAAGACTGAACTTATATTAAAAGTATTATCAAGAAATTAAAAGGTGAATTAGGTAGCAAGTAAATGATACAAAAATGGCAAAATGTTGATAGTTGTTAAACATGGGCAATATGCACATGAGTATTCATTATGTTATATTCTATGCTTGGTGTATTCTTAACAAAGTTCCATAATAGACTTTTTAAAGGGAGTGAATCTGCAGTGATCATTTTATAGATAATATAAATTTATTTATTAAACAGTGTTGCTTTTATGACACTTAAAATCAGAACATGTTGAAATAAACTAACGGCAAGATATTTTATGTTCATAGATTAGAAGACAATGGTCAGATGGCTATACCACTCAAATTGACCTGTAGGTTAAACTCAATCCTTACCAAAATTTCACCTGTCTTCTTTGCAGAAATTGACAAGCTGATCCTAAATTTTAGGTAGAAATTCAAGGGACCCATAATAGCCAAAATAATCTTGAAAAAGAGCAAAATTGGAGTACATCATACTTTCCAATTTTGAAACATACTGCATTGCCTTACGGTAATCAAGACAGTGTAGTAATTGAATATGGAAAGAGATATAGATCATTGGAACAGAATTGAGAGTGTAGAAAAGTGTAGAAATAAACCTTACATTTATAGCCAACTGATTTTTTTGCAAGAGTGCCAAGTCAGTTAAATAAGGAAAGAATAAATTTCAATAAATGATGCTAGGGCAACTGCATATCCGCATGAAAAAGAATGAAATGGGTGTCTATTTCACACCAAATACAAAAATTAACTAAGAATGGACCAAAAACCTAAATATGAGGGGTAAAACTATAAAGTTCTTAGATTAGAAGAAAATTTAGGTGTAAATATTTGGGGTCTAAGATTAGGCAATGGTCTCTTAGATATGACACCAAAAGTACAAGCAACAAAAGAAGATAGATAATAATACTTGGGGATGAAGATGTGGTGAAGTTAGAACTCTCATACACTGCTGGTTGGAATGTAATATGGTACAGCCAATTTAGAAAACAGTCTGACAGTTCCTCAGCCAATCAAACATAGAGACACCATATGAACCAACAATTTTACTCTTAGTTATATGCCCAAGAGAAATGAAGACATTTGTCCACACAAAAACTTATACATGAATGTTCATTGCAACATTACTTATAATAACCAAAAAGTAGACACAAACCAAATGTACATCAGCTGATAAGTAGATAAACAATAGATGGTATATTCATACAGTGGAATATTATTCAACAATAAGAATAAATGAAGTGCTTATGGATGAAACTTGAAAATATGCTAGGTGAAAATATACTAAAAGTGGAAGAGGGCAGTCATGAAGAACAGCATATTAGTATATGATCCATTTATATGAAATGTCCAAACAGGCAAATATATAGAGACAATTAGTGATTGCCTGGGGCTGAGGAAAGGGGATAAGTAAGGGTTGGGATATGATGGTTAAGGTGTGGCGTTTCTTTTGGGAGTATAATAGAGTTCAATAATTGATTGTGGAGATGGATATACAATTCTGAATCTACTAAAAGCCATTTATTTAATTGTATACTTTAAATTAGTGATTATATTGTATGTGTATTATATTTCAATGAAGCGGTTATTTTAAAAATCTGGTCATTCTTTTGTAAAGCATTTTAAGTTTTGTGAGAGAACAGTCATACATACCAAATATGTCAGTATAATCTGTCAATGTTTCCAGCTTGCATTTCAATAACTGCTGTTAGAAAAATACTTTTGAAATGTCCGAAAAGCAATCTTCATATTTTGGACAAATATGAGTCATTTACTTTTTATTCAGTATTACCAGCACTATAGCCATAGATATTAGAATAAGTTGGCATGTAAAGTAGAAAAATGTAGCTAGAATTTACCCTTAATATGAAGTCTTACTAAGAAAGGGAAGCTGCATTGGGAAGTACACTTGATTATGCAGATCTAAGATAGTACTGGTTGGTTACTGAATATTAGTGTCACGCAGATCACTGTTGTTTCACTGATATTATAGAGAAAATCATTGTCTTCTGTCACTTATCTCAAATTTCAGTTAAATATTGATTTTCAGAGTGTGAGGAAGAAGAATGTTACATGTAATTTAGGACTAATTTAAGTTCAGTTCTTTCCCTCTTCTGCCCCAGTAAGAAAGCTGTATAGAGAATAATCTGGTGGCTTTGTAAAGAACTGTGGTCTATGAGCGGTTACGTCATGGGCAATTTGGCGGTTGATCCTAACTTAATCCAGAATGGCTACTGTGATCCCTGTGGATAAGAAAAATGGGGAAGCAGGCCCCCTTGCGGCTCCTAAGAACTGGCTGAAGCTGATATTGGGGCCTTTCAAATTTGGGATAATTCAGGTTTCAACACCACATGTTGGCAAAGTGCTTGATGCTTCACCAGCTTTACCTAAAGTTCCCAGAAGCCTTTGAGAACTGTCAACAGAGCTACAGGAAAGTCAGTAGAGACTAATGGTCCTCTCAAACAGAAACAGACAACTTTCTCTGCTAAAACGGTGACCAAGAAGACTATTTATTAAAGCAAAATGCTCTGCTCCTGCATCAGATGGCACCTATTGAGAAATAGAAACATTCTCTCCCTTCAGTCCTTTAGATTTTGAGAGTTTCGACCTCCCTGAAGAACGCCAGATTGCATAGCCCCCCCGCCTTGAATGGAGTACCTCAAACATTGAAAAGCTGTTAACACCTTGCCCCCCTTCACCTCTAAAGAGGCCCTCTCCGCTGGGGGAGTCCAATCCGTTGCAGTCTCCCTCGAGCATTCTGTGGACTGTGAATGTTGAGTTGCCACCTGTTTGCCATGACTTAGAGATTTAAGTTTCTTAGAGATTTATAGTTTGTGTGTATGTCTTAATAGTTTAACAGATTCTTCTTTTACAAAAAAGAACTGGGACTATGATAAGGGACTTGAAAATGAAGATTCTTGATAGAACAAATCCTTTATATAAGTTTGAGCTTTATATTGTTCTGAATGTGTAAATGAGCAAAAGTTTCCACATTTCAATAATTTATATCTCAAGTTTTAATAATAAGTACAAATGTATAAAAAAAGTATTCTAGGAAATAATCAAGTATTTGTTATTTTAAGGTTGAATAAAATAACAATAGGGTAAGTATAAGTGGCAAAAGGTAGTGGTTTTTTTTTTTTATTTTATTGATTTTTTTTACAGAGAGGAAGGGAGAGGGGATAGAGAGTTAGAAACATCGATGAGAGAGAAACATCGATCAGCTGCCTCCTGCACACCCCCTACTGGGGATGTGCCCGCAACCAAGGTACATGCCCTTGACCTGAATCGAACCTGGGACCCTTCAGTCTGCAGGCTGATGCTCAATCCACTGAGCCAAACTGGTTAGGGCAAAAAGTGTTTTATATAGTGTTAATATTTCAGAGTACTTTTATTAAATTGCATCAAATGCAAAATAGCTTTACTTTTCTCTATATGATCTTAAATAACAATTTTTTCACTCAGTTGTGAAATTATATGGACAGTCATAATCCAAACAAGTTCTACAGATATTTCTATCATTACAGTCCAGAAAGATTTTCATTAGTGTTGCTTATATTTTAAACATAATTACAATCAGGATAACAGGTTTAAATATAGGCTTTTTTGAATAGAGCAAAAATTACTAACATTCAAGTATTTATTGCCTTTCCCTTTCCCAAGGCCATTAAAAACATTTCGCTTGCTATCTTCCCTTCCTTTGACTTTTGAATGACTTTCCAAAAGCAATTTGGAAATTCTTGAGGTCAGGTGGGGGGGGTGAAAAAGATGGGGGAGTAATTTTTCTGGGAGTTTTACTGGAGAGGGAATCTGGTAAAACTGGAGTGTGAGGGATGTACATAGAAGAAATAAGGATTTTAAAAAGTTTTGTTCAAAAAATGATTTTTTTTTTCAAAAAAGTTATTTTGAAATTAGTTTCTATTGTCATTGGGTACCTCTGGCTACAACACAGCTTGAAATGAAACAACATATGTCAAAGATTTAATAATACTGGGAATTGTCAAAAGTTTTATATCAGTAATTGAAATGGGAGTGTGGGGGCACACTTTTATTTATGTTGGCTTGGGGGAAGGGAGCATGGGAAGGATGAGTGGAGTAAAATTTGATTCAGGGTGTCGTTCCAATATATAAAACAAACTTGGCAAATCTGTTTCCATCATACTTTTAGCCAAATTGATAGCATTTGCTCTAAGTGGAAATGTAGGATGCAGTCATTAAAGTGACCAGATGTCAGATCAGTTCTTCAGGATTTTAATATCAATCAAGATAGCAGTTTTTTCTTTCCTAGCTTTATCTGTTGTTTTAGCACTCAGAATTAAATTTATCCAGCTACAACAAATGAAGAGTCCTAGAGTAATTCTTGACAGTAACTTGCAAGGGAATGGTCTTTAATATTACTTGTATATGTAGTATAAATATTACATGCTATTCTGTATATAAATTTCCAAAAGGGAAAAGGAGAAGCAATTTTTATAGACTGCCACTGGTACCTCATAGATTTTTTTAAAAGAAACATTTTTTTGACTGGACTCTTCATATCAACATTTCTGACTTCATCTAGCTTAAAACACCTTATATTTAATTTAGAACAGAATTCATTAGTCATACGGGAATAATGGTCTCTTGGGGCTTTTCAGATGGAAACTACCATGTGAGGCTAATCTTTTATAGACTAGAAAGATAGATTACCACTGTTTTTATTTTCATTCTGTGAAAGCAGAAATTGGAAAAGTAAATTGAAAATGTAGAGTTGGTAAAGACTAATTAGTTATGCTTTTTATTGGTAATATGACCTTTTACTGTCATTAACACTCAGATTACTTCATGAGCAAAATGAAATCTCAAAGTTAGTAATTAGATAGTTGAATTCAGAAATATGTACACAGCTTGCAAACTGTAAAAATCCATTGGTTGGAAACTAACTATCTGTGCATTGTTTTCTTGCAGGGAACAAATCACAAGACAGTGGCATAGCTGAGATGGAAGAACTTCCAGTACCACATAACATCAAAATAAGCAACATTACATGTGACTCATTCAAGATTTCATGGGAAATGGATTCCAAATCAAAGGACCGTATTACACACTATTTCATTGACCTCAACAAGAAAGAGAACAAGAATTCCAATAAATTTAAACACAAGGTAAAATCCTAATACGCTTATATTAGCATCTTAAAAACTTTCTAAGTATGAGGACATTTTCAAAGAAGGAATAATGTTCTATTAATTACTTATATATAATGCATTTAACATGGGGAAAAATAAAAATTACATCTCATTTAAAAAACCTATCCCTCTATGAAATTTTGTAAGAAAATGGAATGCCAAGTATATTGTTAAAATATAATTTTTCTCAAAAAAAGGTAAAATCATAACTCACACAGACATAAAAAATAACATATGTTAAAGATTTTATTTCACTTATTGATGAGGTCTAACAACCAGTTCAAAGAGTAATCCAAAGAAAAGACAATCAGGATATTGAAATAAATGTGTAAAGTAGAGACAAAACTGTTTGGGGTTGGAGGAGGAAGCAAAGGCAGGAGGGGAGGGTTGTGTGTACTCCCACCCCCACTTAACAGAATTCATTTGCATGTATTTAGACAAGAATAACTGAATTGTTATAAGCTATCTAAAAATTACAGAGTGGTAAAATATTTTCCACAGAATCAGAAGAAGATAGCCAGAAGGGTGTGAGATAGGTGATATATAGTTTTTTATTGAAGCACACATTTTTCCCTATGTTAACTGCCGAAAGAGGAATGTGAGAGAGCTTATAAACTTTAGGGTGTTTGTTAAAATACTTTAGGGCTAAAAATTGTTTTATGTAGTCTTTGTTTTATGGTTTGAGAATGAAAATTATCGTTTAGTTGTTTCAGAAATGTAACACTTCTCTGATATTCTCATATTACCTACTTAACACATATCTTTTCTGTTACATATCTCCCTTCATAAGTAACTACAAAAAGAATAATAATTACCTGGTTGAAGTATTTTTTCTTATGTTTCAGTAATTTGACTGATGATGGTGTGGTTTTTTATACTGATACTAAGTTTAATTTGACAAATCTTTTGAAAGAACTGTCTTATTTTGTCTGGAAATTTTGCATTTTACTAGATATAGTTATACATACTAACTATAAATGAGGATTATACTGCAGATAATGTGATAGAACAAGAGAAGTCATTATATTTACTGTGTTCCAATTCTGATTATGCTTCCTTTGCCCCTGCCTCCCTCCGTCCCTCCCTCCTTCTCTCCTTCCCTTCCCTAGGATGTTCCAACAAAATTAGTGGCAAAAGCTGTTCCCTTGCCAATGACTGTCCGTGGACATTGGTTTCTGAGCCCAAGAACGGAGTATACGGTAGCAGTGCAGACTGCCTCAAAACAAGTTGATGGTGATTATGTTGTGTCTGAATGGAGTGAAATTATAGAATTCTGCACAGCAGGTAAGAGAAGAAGAAAAAATGTTTAATAATTCCTATAAAGCTAATTATAGAAAAATTTATTTTTTGTAATTATATGGTGATGTGTATCGCATAGATTGTTACTGCATTGCCAGTAATATTGTATAACAGAACAAGCCGTGTTGTATTGATTGGAAGGAGCTGAGATTCTTAACAAAAGCTGGATAATGGCATTAAATGACTTCTTTGCTACGTACATAGTTTGATTTTTCAAAGTAAAAGCTTTGCAATAAAAATGGATGCAGTTTGAAAATACACTCAGCATATTTTGTGGAAGAACATTGTTTTTCTTCCTTTTTACTTCTTTTTTTCCACAAGTATTGAAAGGAAGCAGCAGCAAGAAACATCCTTCTCTCATTTAGGGGAAAAGAGGCAGATCTCAATGACTGTACTTAATGAGAAACGTTACTGGATTTTTTTCACTTGAGTGCTGAAAATCTCTCTCTAACCTAGTATCTTGTGTGTGTGTGACATGTACTCCTTTACGTCATTAGAAAATACCTCATGGCTGGCATGGCTCAGGGTTAGAGTGTCAGCCTGCAAACCAAAGGGTCCCTGGTTCGATTCTGGTCAAGGGTATGTACCTGGGTTGCAGGTTGCTTGCCTGGTTGGGGCAAGTGTGGGAGGCAACCAGTTGATGTGGCTCTCTCACATCGATGTTTCTCTCTCTCCCCCTCTCTCCCTCTCTTCCACTCTCTAAAATCAATGGAAAAAATATCTTCTCCAATGAGGATTAACACACAAAAAGAAAATGCCTTATAGCTATTTGGCATTGAGATATCTGATGTGGAGAGACCATCCCCTTTGATCTTGAACTTAACCTTAATATTCTTATTATATTGGAGATGTTACCAATCATCTTATTCATTCGTTTATTCATTCAATCAAGAAACATATTTATTGAGGATTTAAATGTGTTGAAAGGATACATCTGTCATCCTCCCCTTTTGTCTATCAAAATGGTGCTTTGTTTCCTCTCTATCTAGGTCAGTGGTTCTCAACCTTGGCTGCACATTAGAATCACCTGGGAATCTTTTTAAAATTCTGATTTCTGGGCCTCATCCTCCAGAAATTCTGTTTCTTTGTTATGGGGTGAGGCCACAACATTAGTAACAAAGAAACAGAATTTCCTAATGTTCAGCCAAGGTTGAGAACCACTGGTCTAGGTCAGTGGTCGGCAAACTGCAGCTGGCAAGCCACATGCGGCTCTGTGGCCCCTTGAGTGTGGCTCTTCCACAAAATACCATGTGTGGGCGCACATGTACAGTGCGATTGAAACTTCATGGCCCATGCGCAGAAGTCAGTATGATATAGCAAGTGGTTGAGTGGCCTTAACATATCATTAGCATATTATGCTTTGATTGGTTGAACGGCCAACCGGACACTTAGCATATTAGGCTTTTATTATATAGGATGTGCTTAGCTACTGCTTAATCTCAGTATCTTCTGTTTTTTCTTAATCTAAAACTGAGTATAAAACTTCAGTAGGTATGCTGAATGGATGGAATTTAATTCTGTGTTATTTTGATTTTACCTTTAACCCTTTTTATGAGAAAGTTGCTAAGTATTGTGACATTCTTGGTTGCTAAGGATTTCAGTGTTTTAGAGCAAGGAAAATATCTCTCTGGTACCATATTTCTTCCCATCTAAGATGTCATTGATTGTAAGAAAAAAATATTGCCAATTAAACTATGAAATTGTGTTTTCTTAGCACATTTGTCACACTCAGGTCAGACATACTAAAATGTTTTTTAAAATACATACTAGAATAGATGAAATATGGCATTGATCATAGACCAGTAATCAGTAAGGAAGTAGCTGAAGATTTCTATATTGTATTAATAGTGAGTAAAGAATTTTCATTGACATAACTTTTACCTGTATTTGATGTCATGTTGAAATTAATATAGCCCCTCAATTTCTTTCCTGAATTAAAATTCCTATTTGGAATCTACCTTGTGTTTACTTATAGCATTTCTGTCCCTTACTTTAATTGTGCCTTCCCAGGGAGATTTAAGTAAGATACAGTAAGACACACACACATTCTCTTTGACAATGTTTGAATTCATGCTATTTTCCATAAGACTAAATTTATCATAGTATTTGTCCATTAAAAAGAGCTGTAGGCCGGCTGGTGTTGCTCAGTGGTTGAGCATCAACTCATGCACCAGAAGGTTGCTGGTTTGTTTCCCAGTCAGGGCACATGCCCAGTTGCCAGCTTGATCCCCAGCAGGAGGCATGCAGGAGGCAGCTGATCCATGTTGATGTGTTTCTATCTCATCGCTGTTTCTATCTCTCTCTCCTTCTCTTTCCGCTCTCTCTAAAAGCAATAAAAACATACAACATTTTTTAAAAAGAGCTATAATTTACCATTTGACATTAGGGAAAGGTGTGAAATATTTATCTTACGGAAACCCTTTGGCATTTCTAGTTCAGAAACATATATATCATCTATCAATTGATACACACATTTATTCTATAATCTATTTAACTATATGTCTGCTTTATTTCTATGTATATGAAGGAAAACCTTATGTCTTTTGTTTAGAGTGATCTCCTTGTTGCTCTTATATTGAACTAAGTCCCATAATTCTTCTATAGAAGTTATAGGGTAAATAATAAGGAAAATGCCAGCTTTTAAATGTGCCACAAAACTTTTCTCTATTTTGCATCTTTATTTCCATGAGTAAAATGTAAGAGGAACTTAAACTGTTTAAAGCTTGTTTCAATTTATCAAAATAATTCAGAGACTATTTCACCTATCTAAGCTTTATCTAGAACCTCGACTGTAAATTTTGAGAGGGCTGTTTTGTATAAATAATCTTTTAATCTGGACATTTCATTCACTCAACATTTATTGAGCACATACTGTGTGCTATGCACTGTGCAAAGTATTGGAAGTAAAACAATACCACAGACTAATCTACTTCTAGCCGCCTGTGACAGATAAAACCCTGTGTTTACCCCATAATAAGTCATAGTTGTCTGTATATTTATCTCCTCCTTTAGACTCTGTGTTCTTTGAGAGGAAGAATACATTTTTATCGTTTAACCTGATCATCTAATTTTGCATGGTACTTTGTACATCTTATGGTCTAACCTAAATAAATGTTTGTTGATCCAGTGAGTAAACAAACCATGAGCAATTCAAGTAGGCTGCTTTTATTTGTAATCTTTGTAGATGAAAACTTCTGCTCACCTTCTGGTACGGGAGTTTGACAGTAATCCTCAATTTCAAAACAGAAAGTTGGTGAAAAGATCAGGTTATTTTGAGAGATGATTTAGACTTTCATAGAGTCTTGTATACTCGAAATTAAAAGCCAACCAGATCTAACCTCTAAAATACTAACTGCATAAACATTTGGCAAATCATTAAACTCATAAGCCACAATTTCTGCATCATTAAAATCACCATATTTAATCTACCTTGCCAGCCTTATAGATTTAGGGAGTAAATTAAATGAGTATTATTTCGACTCCCTTACATTCTATTTGCTGTTTATTTCAGATTATAAGCTTTTTAAATTCAACTTATCAGCTGATAGAAGAAAAGCTTTCATGGTGCTGATTGACATTACTTGAGTTATGCAGAGTCTGTATCCCTTAATATTTTGTTTTAGGATCTTTCATTTTAAAGCATGAAAAAATGCAGGAGTATTCTAAAAAACAACCATAAACCATAACAAAAATATTTTTGTAGAAAGAAAAATGTGCCACACAAAGACAGTATTTTCATTCTTAAATGTAATTTCCTGTTTTCTAAGATGAATTTCCTAAAGGTGACAATGGTAACAATCTTCAATTTATTAAGTACTTACAATATTTTTTTCTCTAATCATCATTTATCCCCTCTATGCCCTCTTCCATCTTCACCAACCCTCTTCCCCGCCACAATCACCACACTGTTGTCCATGTCCATGAGTTCAGTTTTTTTTCTTTTTTTGCTCACTTCCTCCATCCCCCCAGCAGCACCCCCACCAGAACTGTCGCCTGCTACCTATGAATCTGTAACATTTTAATAACAGACTTTTTTTGTTATTTTCAGACTATTCAAAAGTTCATCTAACACAACTTTTGGAGAAGGCTGAAGTGATTGCAGGACGGATGCTAAAATTTTCTGTGTTTTATCGTAACCAGCACAAAGAATACTTTGACTATATTCGGTAAGGATCAAATATATATATTAGCTTTATTAAATTGTATTCAAAATTCTAGGCTTAGGTTTACCTTGAGTCTAGTTCTGGGAAATAGCAATTTTAGTTTTCTTTTCAAAATAGTGAATTATACTCTGATTTTATTTCCCAGAATAATTAAGTAGAAAAAGTTAGATCATAGGATTTTTTCCACTTCATTTAGATTCCTTTCCATAATCATTTGTAATACCAATTCCTGTCTATTTGAGTAAAAGATCTTAAACCTCCAGGACTTATATTGATGATCATTTCATGTACACACTCCTCTAATTCTCAATAACTCAGTGCCTCTGTCTCATATCAACTACTAAATCTTCACCTCTTCTGTGGATCTCTTTAAGATGTTAAAAATGAGAGAACAAAAGAGTGATTATTTCCTGAAATATGGTGAATCAGGTGGGATTTTTAGATTTCTGCCTAGGTGGAAAGCTATCATCTGTTTTCTTAAATTATTCATGAGGATGGTTTCCTTCTTTACATTGTTGGTTTGAGAGAGAGATCCACTTACTTATGGATTCATTAGCTGATCTTGTGTGAGCCCTGACCGGGGATCGAATCCTCACCTTGGCATATCTGGACTATGCTCTAAACAACTGAGCTACCCGGCCAGGGCTCTTTTGTTTACTCTTGAATTACAGAGCTTGGCCAGTATTTCTAAGACAGCCTATGTGTAGTCTTGGGAGCAGTTTCCAAGAATTCAAAAGAATTTTAAGCAATGGGTAATTTCAATACTTACAGCCCTTTTATATTTGTATGAGAAAATTTCAGGAGAGTAAATAGGCAGATGTGTTTTGTGAGACTACGTCTTTTAAAATAAATCCTATATATAGGTTCTAAAACTTTTAATTTATAATTAAAAATTATAGTAATCCCTATGTTATTTCTAAAAGCCTTGGTTTCATGTTAAACTCTAAAGCATTCTCAAATTGACAAGATTGTTTATGAAAAATTAGGAAACTTTGTTTCATACTAGCTTCATTTTTCTTAAATCAAGATCATGGTTTCAGATTTAGATCAGCTCCAAGTTGTGAAAAATGAAAAAAATAAAGATCATAGAGAGAGAAACTAATTTAGGTGGCCTTATTGTTCAAATGAAGTACTTTGCAATATCATATATGTTTATATATTTTGATGTCAAATCATTTCTGCCTTATATGTTTGAATATTTTATGAATACCAAGTTTAGTTCATGACTCTTTTAGCTGGTAAATTTTCTACCCTTAAGTCTATAGAACTCATGGTGGATGCCATTCACTTAATTTAGAGAGTACAAAATGAGAGATACAACAAAATTATACCTGTCAACTGTTGGATAGAAATGACCATATATACTCACCAAGAAAGGTATTTCTTTTATTTGTTAAGCATAAAATTTTGGGGGAAAAAGATCCACTATTGCCATTTTCTTTAATAGAAATAAACACATCTTTGGTATTAGGTTTAGATTCCTGGGATACTGCCAATGTCTATTTTAGATGGCCACTGGAGGTCAGTATTCCTCTGATTGTCTCTGTTCTTTGGGCCCTGACCTTCTGTTTTCAGGTCCTTGAATACTCTAAAATTAGCTTCATCTGTTTCCAAAAATTCTTCCAAGAAAAAAAAAGGCAGAGCATGGAATATGCAGAGTTACTATATATGTAGTTATTCCAATATGCTAGTATTAAAAATGTATTTACTAATAGGGAATTTTTTGCTGGATTTTTCCATGACAGTTATAAATTCATGTAAATTCATTTGTTTTTTTCTGAGCACGAAATTTATTATGTTAAAGACCTCCAAGGTTTGCAACAGAACATTCTTACCTATGGTCAAGGCTAGAACTTAGCCATCTATAGGTAAGGTAAAAAATGCATTCTGCTTGATGTGATATAGGACAAACATTTGGGCTCTTGACAGTTGACTTTTAGGCCTATCACCATTCAAATCTATAAATCAGGAGCTTTCCCACTACTGTACCAAGCATTAACCGTTTCTTCTCTCTTGCAGAGAACATCATGGGGATGCTATGCAGCCCTCTGTCAAGGATAACAGTGGCAGCCATGGCTCTCCTATCAGTGGAAAATTAGAAGGCATCTTCTTCAGCTGCAGCACTGAATTCAATACTGGGAAGCCACCCCAGGATTCTCCTTACGGAAGATACAGGTTTGAGATTGCAGCAGAAAAACTTTTTAACCCCAATACTAACTTATACTTTGGGGACTTCTACTGTATGTACACTGCTTATCATTATGTGATTCTTGTTATTGCCCCTGTGGGATCACCAGGAGATGAATTTTGTAAGCAGCGTCTTCCTCAACTAAATTCCAAGGATAATAAGTTTTTGACCTGCACAGAAGAAGATGGGGTGCTGGTTTACCACCATGCCCAGGATGTCATTTTAGAAGTCATTTACACTGACCCTGTGGATCTTTCTCTGGGCACCGTGGCAGAAATCACTGGTCATCAGCTCATGAGTTTGTCTACTGCAAATGCAAAAAAAGATCCCAGCTGCAAAACCTGTAATATCAGTGTTGGACGTTAATGCCCACTTTTCTTACTCTTATTCAGTCCCTTTCTTTCCCTTAGAAGCATTGATCCTCTGTTGTCCATTTTCATTACCAGATGTTTTCCACTGAAGCATGCATTTGCCGCTATCACCAAAAGCAAACTTCCACTTTTCAAATTTCATTCAGAGCCGTTTTAGTGTTTCCTATTCCCTACCCTTCCCATGACTTTCTCTGATGAAATATCCTGTTCTCCTTCTGACACTTTATTATCTAGATGCTGCAATGTTTTTATTTTTCCTTTATGCCAAACTTAACAAAACAGTTATATAGACCGCTTTAGCAAAATACAAAAATAATGGCTTATAAATGGTGTTTAAATATGCATTCATTTTTATCTACTGAAAAAATATTGGGATAACTCCAAACCGCATGAAAAGGTGTAATTGCAGCATGAGTTAAATATTGAAGTCTAGAATTGTCAGCACTTCCAACTTGTTGTTTGACAGTGTTATTTATGTTATTTATATTTGCTAACAGGAAACAATTACTGTTTCAACATAATAAATATAATAGAAAAATATTTTATTTGTATTGTATAAAATATTTACAATCATATAGAATATATAGTTACATTTTAATAGCAATTGTACACATGTCATGAAACCATTTCCTTTATCAAAGATGTAGTTTGTAAACCTCAAACAGTTGTGTATCTATCCTGTGACAAGTAGATGACTTTAATTAAATTATGAAGGACATTATTCTGATTCATAAAAGTTACAAAATACCAGGTAAATACAGAGAAAACAATTAAGACTCTGAAATAGTCAATATTCTTCCCACCCAAACTATGTGAATTTGTTCAACATCATGCTTAAACATTACAGAAAATAGAAATACAAACATGATTGGTACAAGAGAAAACGACGACTTTTTACTTATTTTTACAAAAGCAAAAACACAACAATATAAAGTTGACGAAACAAATAAAATATTCTGGCTTTTTTTCCAAGGTGTCATAGCAAACAATTTTCAAATCTTTCATTTTATAGAGAATGAAGAAAGCTCTTTGACTTGACTTTACAAAGTATAGACCTTGGAACATTAAGAAAAATGCATATTCCCAATGAAAAAATAGTTATATAATCTTAGTTATAGTAAACAAAAAGATTAGCAATCATAGCTATAATCACATTAGATATATACTGCAGACACTTACCTATCCAAAATACCTATTTTCAAATTTTAATACAATATTTTATTTTAATATAAACATCTGTCAGTTATAGACAAAGATAATTCACAAAGTACATGCTATCAGAATGAACTTTGGTAATCAGAAATGTAAAATTTCAATTAACATAAAATAATGTGCTATTTTTATATAGAAATAAAAAATTAGCAGTGACACATTCTATTATATTTTAGGGTACTAAAAGCCTAAGCAGACAAAGGGGACAAGGTAGATTTTTTTTATCACTTAAAAATCTATTAGAAGTTTCAAATAAATTACTTTCTTACTATCTATATTCCTTCCTACCAAAAAAGAAGAGTTTCTTTTCCTCCTCTTATTGAGGAAATCATACTTTTTCCATCAGCATATGCAGTCTTTGGACACTAAATAGACTTCCCTGAACCAACGGGTGTTTAGATTTGATAAAATATTAGATGTTTTCCGAAAATATTATACTGAACAAGTTTTCTCCTTGGCATAGAGGAAGTTGACTTTTATTTTTCTAATTATACTGTTACATATTGTATTTCCCCCCCACTTAAATCTCTCATCATTTTTAATTACACTTGCCATCCCTTCTTAAAAATAACTATTACTACCACTAAAGTGCTTCAGTTTTCGTTATGTCAAGACTACTTACTCAGCAAGAATGGGAGAGGAAAATAAACTTTATCTTGGATGAAAATGATCACAAACATTTCTTAAACCTCAAATAGTTTTGGCCACATCTTGCTTGCTGATTAGGACCTCTAGTAGTCTCAGTTTGGCTTTTATGTGCTTATATTCATAGTACTCATCTGCCATGGGTATCCTATCTTCCTTTTGTGGACTTCTGCAAAACAGAAAATACCATCTATTAGTTCACAATGAAGCAAGTCATTACAAATCCTTTCATAATTCTTGAGAAAGTATGGGGTAACAGTTTCCACTTGGTTTTTGCATTATGTCTTTTTTTTACCTTCCCTTTCACCTTCATTCACTCCCTCTTCCATGTATTATTTAATAGTAACCTTTGAGAACTTCAATGTCATAGGTATTTGGCAAATACACAGTATAGTCCAACACACAGACATATCAATAGGGCAGGTGAAAGGGCTGAGGGAAAAAAACACCAGAACAAGACATTCCTTGACTAGTCATTCTCCCATTGTCCATGCCACAGGTCCATGCCTATACAGAGTGTTCCACCTTTACAGTGATAATGGTTAAAAAATATCAAGTGAAAACACTACAGAAATCATAGCAACAAAAATAGTTTATAAATGTATGGTAATATAGGGAAAAAAGCTCAATGACTATCTTACAAACATTAAATATTTCCAAGTTTTCTTGAAATCATAATACCTGTTTCTGCAAAAGTATAGTAGAATCACTGAGTTCTGTAAGAAATTTATGAGTGTACATTTCAGTGGTTCTCTTAGCAAACTATACTAAGACTAGACATGATAATGCATAGATTTGTATACATATGCATTCTAACTAGTACATGTTCTTGCCATGTACTTTGAACAACAATTGGGAAACATATGCAGTTAAAACCATTTGCCTTCCCACAAAAATGTTGCCAGGACATGTTCCCTAAAATGCAATAATTGCTTCAGGATCTCAGAAGACTCTTGCTTGATAAGATGGCCAATTGCTTTTAAGACATTTTTATCCATTACTTTGAAATACAATGGGTAGAAAACATGTGAAGTCACCACAACTGCTACTTAATATGCTGAATATAGAAAACAAATACTCTCCAATATTACTATGACTGAAAATGGGTAAATAGCAAATATTTAATGTTTTACCTATACCCCCTTCTATTTTCTCAGTACTGATAAAGATATATTTATATCTCAACAAATAAAAAAGCTAATCCCTAAAAGGTAGTTATCTACTTGTATTGCACCACTATACAGTGTTCTGCAATTTCCAGTACAGAACTCAGACTAGTACTCAAATCTATAGAGAGGGTTCCTTTTAAATGTCAAAATTATGTACCATAATTCCTTTGCCTCCATTCTGTATTATAGGTCAAATTTATCATGACTGGGTGTCTAAATGCTGCCTTAATTTGTGTACATATATATATATAAGTGAATAAATTATCTATTTTATAGGAAAACAGGAATAATCCATTCTGTGACCTTCCCTGGTTCTGTATACTCCATTCTGGCTAATAAATAAGAGTGCATTGGCCCAAATGAAAAATTTTGCTAGTATTTCCTGAAGCAGTTTTACCATTATATAAAAAAATTCTTAAAGTGTTTATTAGCATAGTTCCTGGCTCATAATTGTTAATAATGTAAAATCAACATATAATGTCTCATGCATGATAAATATTACAAGAACATTTATATTAGCTTAAAATTTTTAGTAATCCATGGTTATGTTACCTTATGGATAGTTAGGCCTTTCCAATAAAATGTCTTATGAAAACAAGTTTAAGATACATATTTTGTAGCCATGCAATAATTTGTATTATATCACCACTTTTGCATTTAGTTGAAATGTATTACCACAAGAGGGCATACAACCTCAGTCAAACAGGATTATCTGAAATGGATTCAGGACTAACAGGTTCAGGAGAATACTGTATGTGGAACATAACTAACTTCCCTGTATATCAGAGGTTATGCCAAGTACCATTGCAGATCGACTAGGCAAGACTACTAGTACAAAAAGTTCTCAAACTCTTTATAGTAGACTCCTTGGTTCAAATAGGTAAAAATATAAATGTAAAAGTTGTATGGAAATTTTATAAAAGGAAAAATGGAAATTGCAAAAACAAGAAATTATGTTTTATAGTCTAAGTTTTTAACAGCTATGGAATATTCTCACTAGATTAGTTAGCATCAGCAAAAAGTAAGTAACTTGGACTTGTACCAATCAATTGGAAAGGAAGATTCCAAGCAGAAAACTAGGTTGGTTACATCTGTATTTGCTAAATGCATAAAGTTTCTGACTTAGTAGGTCCAGTTTTAGTGAACAGCCCTGAAGAACTGAAATGGAAACGCGGCTAAGAGGTGAGTAGACTTACACTTTTCCAAGATGCTTTAGAAAATAGCCTCTCTCCGTCAGGGCAACCCTCATTCTGCTGAAATGAAAGTTCAGGAAAGGCGGATGTGTAGATGGAGAGGACTACCAAGGAGCCAGTGCAGCACTGACTCCCACCTCTGCCACCTAAATAACTTTGTGACTTTGGGAAAATTATACCCTTTATTATTTAGGACTGATGACCCCTATGATAGCTATGGCTTCCCAAAATATTCCAGGAAGTGCAGTCATTTCATCATGGAAACAGGCTCAAGATAGTTAAGTGATTTGTCACTGTCTCTTCCAGAAGTAGATCAGTAACCCATGTGTATAATTTTGTTGACTATACACCAAAATTTAGAGGAAATTAATGGAGTACATAATGAGACACTTGGGACAACACAGAAAAAGAGAAGACAAATAGAGGATATAGCTAAATATTTTTGAAGGGGCAGAAAGAATCCTGACTAAAATCCTGAAATAAAAGAATTAAGGGCAGATCCTAAAGTTTAGAAGAGATATTTAAAGGAAAGGAAGAATTATTTAATAAATTAGAGAATAACTTGTAGAACAAATAAGTTATTTGGGCTGAAAAATCAGATTTTTTTAAAGGTTTAGGTAAATTCAATAGTTATTATTTAAAGTTAGGGATTTTTGGAGTTCATCCTTTATTTTTAAACTCTGATGTCATACTTGATAGTTACAGCCTTCCATAAAACATACCTAATAATGGATTATCAGAATGTTGCATTAGACAAATCCTGGGACTAAGTCATTATGGGAATTGTATATATCTTGCGTAGAGTCACTGTTCCTTAAAAACTTTTAGTTCATTCTTAACAATAGTTCCCCAGGAAATATTAACTTAAAATATTCCTCTGCAAACTTACCTTCCTGTTTGTTTAAAAAATTGTTCTTCAAATTCTCTTAAGGCTTTCCGAAGTCTCTTCTTGTCAGCCCTAGTTTCTCGGAGATGGTCAAGAAGTACAGGCCTATATCAAGTAAAATATATATTTGCCATAACTGAGCTCTGGCATAATTGAGAGATCATGAGTAGATTTATCTATTTAGCAAAAGCATATAATGATACAGAAATGTTCTGCCTAAAAGGGTATCTTTGAATCAGTATGGCACATGTAGAGCTGACCATAGGGGAGCACAAAAACGGAGGAAAGTACTTAATGAAAACAATGTCATGGGAAAGGAGAGAGGACAAGGACAAATAGGAGGTAAGCAGACTGAGTCCATTTAAAAAGTGGTGAAGGTAAAGGGCATATAAGTCAATGTGGAAGAAACAAGACATTTTGAAGGAATACTCATCAGTATTTGGTGATAGACTGAAGAGGAAACGATTTTAAAGAAAACTGTATCCTTAACTAGAGTATGGG